TTAGGTCTCATCAGATGCAGATACGCAACTCCAGTGTAGCCGCGGAAATTGCGGCCACACTCGAGATTTGAACCCGCGTCGCTCCGGTCAGGGGCGAACTCCTTAACCCCTGAGCTATCGGGCTCGATGTTATGCCGGTTGTTGATCGGTATTTAAATACCAGGGCAGGTGTGCCCCGCATATGATCGGTGCAAATATATGTACTAGAGAATTATGTTGTCTGTTAGGTAAAACCATCGCCTATTCCGCATTCTCAAGCAAGAATTTCTGTGAGATCAAAACAACCGATTGCAATAATGCTAGTTTTTAATGTTTATTGTCTCTTCATTTTACACCACTTAGGTTGATTTTCTTAGGCGTATACGGCACGAGACCACAGTACTAGGGTCTAATGACAAGGAAAATTCCGGAGTATTTTACTCAATCACGATTCACATATGTTAATAACTTTTATGCTTGCAAACATAATAGTTTCATTATTAAAAGGTGGAGGCAGATTTGATTAATTCAATTGACCCAATTGTGAAATATTCGCAGTTTCGGTGGGATACGAACCCACGGCAAAAACTGAAGGCTTCAGTACAGCCAGCGCTCTGCCAAATGATCTACGAGGCTCACAAAATGCCAGGCATTTAATCACACGTGGGCCGATTTACCCGCCCAGCCTACTGCCTGTATAGAATCCACCAATACTGATAGAGTAGGCTGACTGCCCAGGCAGGATTTCCTAAACAATCAACCTATAATCCACCAGATGACTTCTAGGCAGATATAAAAAATTCAATTGACCCAATGGTGAAAAATTCGTCGCCTCAGCATCATAATACTCTAGGACTTTAGTTACCGTGATTATCTGTGAGATTTTGCCGTTAATCAGCAGGCCTGCATAATTTATTTTGAGCTCAGACTGGCGGCGTTGTTGTCAACTTCGTCTGCCTAAAATAAATGCGCTTTTTGCATTTTTCAGTATGGTCAATTGCTATACTCACTTACTTGTCGGCTGTACGCGCGGCGGCACTGGGTTCTGGCTACACTGCACAACAGCTGAAGGACCTAGACAACAAAACGATTTGTCACTCATCACACTTTGTGTGAAGAAGCATTCACTGTTACATTGGGGTTACGCTGAATTCAAGATTCTTGTTCAAATAATCCGAAGGAAATTTTTCTATTTACTTCGACAGGTTTATTCGGCAAACATATGTTTTCAGCAATTCATCATCAGGCCAGTACAATTGCAGGGATACTGAAAAGCGTACTGTTAGCTAGGGTTGATAAGTGTCCTTTGATTATACCTCAGCCTCCCGCACGGTGAGATCACCGTGGAAAGGTCCTTGCGCTGGAGAGGGGAGGAGGATAGGTCGTGGACGTTGGCCATGATCAGGTACATGGAGTGATAATTAATGTCATTTGAATGGATTAAAAAACTGCCACTAGGGGGTGGGGTGATATGCGATCACCACTTGGCGTCGGCGTCGGTCATTTTTCAAGTTAAACGTGGGAATACTTGGAGGCAGAAGAGAATCCAAAGATACATTGGTGTTAAATGGACTCAAAGAATTCCCGACGTTTGATTCTAGAATTGCTGAGATAAACGTGACAGCCAAATTCTTAGCGGGATCTGAAGCATTTGTTCCCCGGTACAAATTTAAAACACGCATATACGGCAGGATTTATTG